GAAGTCAGCCAAATCCAATGAATAAACTAACTATATTTATTAATTCGAAATCTGGGTTAAGCTACAAAATATAATGCGTACAATATAAGTTCATGCTGATCATATAATGAAGCTAAGTACTATCAAAATATTTCGGGGTACTATCACCGAAAGAGAGAGCTTACATAAATTATCATACTACCTGAGAACGTCGTGAGAACTTTCTTGTTGTTAATATTGTCCTTTCATATTATTAGATGCAGACACCAAAGTAAAAGAGGTAACTTCTCAATGGGCTAATGTCTCTTGACCCAGGACAAAGGTAAGGTAGCTATTACTACGACTAAAAAACATGTCTAAGAGCTTAGATTACTGATAGAGTGACTAAAAGCAAGGATGAAACGTGACTTTAAACTTTTATAAGAAAATAGAGATCATATAAAAGTACGCTAATGTAATCGAATATTTTTATTTATGAGTATTTATGTCTTACAATCTGTATGTAACATATAGAGTTAAAAAGTAAACATAGATTATCACATAAATTCACTGTACTTGCATATTTTTATCCATTCTTATATTATTAGTGGATACAGAAGAACTAGAAAGACAGACTAACTCCAAAATTAAAAATATTAAAATAACGAGCAAATATATAGGTGACATCGTCACAATATCGGACTGCAATTTAAATCATATTTAAATTTATTTAATTTAAAATATATGTTGTTCACCTTAAATTAGTGGTGTCTTGCCTCTGTACATCATACTTTGCCGTTAGCAAAAGATTCGTGCCAGTCATTTGTGTAACTTTTTCAAGAGAAATTTTTGAATTAAAATAACGTTATATAACTTATATAACATATACAACCTCGTGTGCTTATGATTTACACAGTCATTCTCGGTTTTCATCTATCTAACATCGATTTCGAGATTAAGGTGAGACAGAGAGATCAAAGTGGACATTCGTAGGTTTGCAATTAATAATGTCCTGTTATTAAAATATGCAGAACGACTGAATACTAGTTTATTGTTGCTAATAATAGTACAGAAATTAAACAATTCTGTAAATAATATTATAATTATATAAGAATATTAATCACCTTACTTGTCATCATAAATGTTTTTAAGACAATGTTTTGAAGTTCGAAAAATTAAATTGGATTCTTTGTTTTTTTGCTCTTATCAATGCAGCTTCCAACTCTTTACATATAACGTGCTATTGTTCGATCGACCTAGTAAATAACAGTATGTTTTCTAGAAACATTATTTTAACATTTTTCTTGAATATAATTAGGTGACAGCTGAAAAAATGTGCACATCTAGCTTTAGAATTCTTATATTGTCTAATAAAACGTATAGCATAATAATATAATTACCGTACTTTTTAAAGAAATATAATGTGATTTTTTATCTCTGATCACTTATTGCTATGCCAGCTGTCTATGAGGACGTTCAAGTGAAGTGCGCTGCATCTTTGCTCATATTTTAAGATATTTATTTAATACTTAATTGCTTTCTCTGTGCCCTTTGAAACTTGTTTAATATATTTTTGTAAGAAACGATATAAGTGTACTTATATAAAAAAATAGCCAATGAAAGGGTTTAGTAAATCTTTAAATAACTTGTCATCGCACAAAAAGCCCTCTAGTATCGTACCCAAAGCGGTGAAGTACTATAAAGATTACGCATAGACCATTATATATTATTTTTAAAGTACTTCTCTTTTGTGCTGATGTTGTAAGGTTTTCAGTAAATGCTGACGACACGGGGTTTGTTGAAACAGACTGCTCGATTATTAGGTACTCTTAATAAAATGACAAACATAAGAAAGAAAAAATCGATAAAAAGAAAAGCGCTTTCTCAATTAAGCGCACTGCTCCATTTTAATAGTTTTCTTAAGCGAACATCTTTTTAGAAAATTAATTACTAAAATGGAATTGATTTTTGTTTCTCGAAATAAAAATATAATAATAAGGAATACTTTCTTTTAGGTGACGATATAAAAGATTACGTGGTGAAGATAGCAGTGGCAAGAAAAATAATTCCTATTATAGAATTATTGCTAATAATCTTCTATGTATTACAAATGTAAATATTCTTAATAGCCCTATTATTACAATACTACTCCGGAGGAACAAATTATTAAACGCTATGCCTTTTTCAATACGATTCAGAAAAAATTAAAATTTAGGTGAGTTAAAACGGTGAAATTTATAGTTGCATTTTTTGTTTACTAAAGGGATTCGTTTTTATTATTTTTCAATATTTTTTAAAAAATAAAATCATTATTCACTTTTGTTTTCTCTTCCACCTGTCATCTGCTCACTGATCAAATTCATATCAAACAATCTCAATTTTTTAACACAAACGCGACTTTAGTTTTACTTTACAATATTTTTCTGAATCTAATATATAATCGAGACGGGTTGATGATAATAATAATAATAATAATAAGCGCAGAGCCCAAACGGTTAGGAGTTGAAAGTTGAAATTTGGTATACACAGATAGGGTACGTCACGAAAACGCGCACTAAGAAGGGATTTTTCGAAATTCCTCCCCACGGGGGAGAGGGACAGGATTAAGGCTTAACACTTCCATCAACAATGGAAGTGTTAAGTAACAATGGAAGTGTTAAGTAACAATGGAAGTGTTAAGTAACAATGGAAGTGTTAAGTAACAATGGAAGTTTCAACAATGGAAATGCTACGTAACAATGGAATTGTTAAGAGAAAGCGACGTGCAAGACGCAGATGCAGTTTTTTTCGTTTTTGCGGGAAATCGAACATATTTTTAGACCCATCTAAAAATTCTCTAATTAGTCTTGAAACAAGGGGACCCAATTTTTGCATTCTGTGAAAACGGGTAAGGTTGACTGTAACGTAATAATTTTTATCTTAGTTATCGTTACTTCTGCCCGAGCAACGCCGGGCCCACCTGCTAGTTATCTAATAAAACATTAAATGTGTTATTATGCATAAAGAAAGGTTTTAATATATTTCTTCATCTGATACTAAATTCTGCCTTCTATTGAAGGCAGAATTTAAGCATAATTGATTATATCTATGGTTTGTTGTAGCAAAATAATATTAATATTACGTCATATTTCCCTCAAGCATAGGTTTGCGAACAACTTTGTTGAAACTCTGATTTTCTCACGTGATTGTGTCTTTCGGCTTTAGTCTAATCATTATGAATCCGAAACAATATCATGAGTCATCTAGCAAAACTAAGCATAGCCTATGTATATCGATACATTCTAATATAACGTTTTGAACTCATTCTCAAGCATCGAAACATAAAACTTTATATTGCAGCCTTTTAATTCAATTTTCTAACGTGTTCGACCATTTTGAAAGGCCTTCGCCAGAAATAGAACAATCGAATGATTCTGATATCTAAACCGACATTTGTTTTTGGAACTTAACTTTTTTTTGAATTTTTTTAGATGTCTGGTGCGCAGGCTCGTATATAAATAATTACAATCTATATTTGTACTTTACCAATATAAACAAAACCTATATATATAAAATACATGAATAAATAACTGACTAAAGTACAATAAAATAAATAAGCGAATAAATACGTAAATACAATAAATATGTAAATATATACCAGAAACGATAAAGACCATTGATAAATTAAATTAATAGCGAGGTTGCGGCCGAAGTTCTCGTTTCGAAACTTGAACGTCGAACGTCGAGCGCCACTATCTCGAAAGCGGCACTCGACGTTCGACGTTCAAGTTTTAGAGATGAAGACCATTGATAAATTAAATTAATAGCGAGGTTGCGGCCGAAGTTCTCGTTTCGAAACTTAAACGTCGAACGTCGAGCGCCGCTATCTCGAAAGCGGCACTCGACGTTCGACGTTCAAGTTTTAGAGATGAAAACTTCGGCCGCAACCTCGCTAATACTTCTGACATAATTACTTTGTATTGAATCATAATATCTTAGTAAAATAATATGTCCACAGATATGAAATAGTGAAACCAATGCTGCTTTGGCACGCAAAGTCATACGTAAATGGTACATATATTGGCATTCTTGGGCAATTGGCAAACAAGGTGAGAAATGGTAGAATAATATATTTTCCGAAAAAGTAATATATATAATAATTAATCTTTAATTTTAAATTATCTAAAAGCATAAATTAATAATTTATTTAGAATCTCATAAATTATTTAAAATCTAATTTAGTAATATAACAATGCTTTTTTACAGACAGCAGATATATATCCTCGTTTTTCTTTCATCTCACCGAAGTATAAAAAAGTTATAGACTATTCTTTTCCAGTTTCAACAGAGTCTATAAACTTTTTTATTAAACGAATTGAAATAAAGCCTGGATGGAATGCAATTTTCAAATCCTTTTCAGTTCAAGTTAGTGTTTTACTTACGCCATTTTTTCCGTTCTTTTTTATATTTTATTAAAAACAAATTGTGGAAAAAAGGTAAGTGTTTTTTAAAAAAAATATTTTGTCCTGGATTTTAAAATTTATTATATTATTATTCTAAAATATTTTTTCAATTACAATATGTAAGTAACTGTGTTACAGTATACGTATTGACATTTAATTCATATTTTTCCAGTTTATCAACTAGTGAAATAAGAAATTCACACTAACATTGATAAGTTTTTAAATATTTAAATTTATTTTTTATTTAATCACATTAAGTAAAAAATAGGTAAAAAAGCTCTTTATCCACGATGTAAATAAATTTCAAATGAAAACAAAAGTTTACCATAAATATTCTAATAATCACTAAACATATTTATAATCTTTTTTATTAAAGGTTTGGTTGGCAATAGAAACGACCTTTATTTTGGTTACATTAATTCTTCCATCCATAATAAATTACGAATTAAACAAAAGAGAAATTTCACGTCGCTGGACAATAAAGACAAGTTTTTGGTTTATATTTTCTTCTTTTACTAATCAAGGTATAAATATTTTATGACCCGTTTAAGCATTAATTTCAAGCAGTAGATTCATGTGTTTATTTTTCAGGATGTGACATAAGCTACATAAATCGAACGTTTGCGAGAATTGCGATTGGAACTTGTTCAGTAACAATTTTAATATTAACATTTAGCTACAGCGTAACATTAACTTCTCATTTGACTGCTCCGAATTTAGAGCCCGTGCCCAAAACATTCGCAGAATTAGTTGATTATGTAAAGAAAGGAAAGGTTGCTTGTGGTACTCATGATCACCATACTTTTTACAATCTAATAATGGTAAAACATTTTTTGTATTATTTATTTTTTAATATAATCTTGTAGATAAAACGTAAGATAAGGAATATAGTTCTGTAATGTGAAATTTTACCATTATAATTTTATAGAACTCTGATAAAGGACTTGTTAAAGACCTAAAAGCTCATATGATAGCAAACAACAACATTCTCAGTATAAAAAATTTCGTGAAACGTGCAAAGGAAGGCCGAATTGCACTTATTTCATATAGTGGATATATAAAATCTTTTACAAATAGACACAAAGAAAAATTGTTAATTTCTGAGGATTCGATGGCATTTATACAAGTTGGATACCCGATGAGAAAAGGATTTCCGTTAAGAAAACAATTTGATTACATGTAAGCGTGAATTTTAATTTATTTTATATTTTTCATTTATATAATTCATATAAATTTTTAATATAAAAATTTCAGAAACGAGTTGCTTAACTTTTCTTGCAACATTTAAAACAGCGTGTGTTTTGCCATGTGTTAAGATATCATTTTATTAATAACACTAATATTTTTAAATTTTAAAAATGATAAAAATTCTCATTTTGAGAGTAGGGATGCTTTGTTGTAAAATTTTCGAGAAAAAGCACAGTCGATTTGAAGCTACGTATAGCATGAACAAAATCATGCCACATATACTAACATCCATACATTCAGAAATTACTCTCGAATGTTTAGCATTTCTCTTTCAAGGTATCGTGAGTCCAAAAATGTAAAATTTTGAGCTGGTCATTTTTTGACTGATCGCCATACTTTACCTCTGTTATTTGTAACATAGCCAGGAAAGTATAAATATTTATTGTGTGAATTATATATCTGAATAATTAAAACACGGCTATGTGTACACCGAAAATACGTGTTTACATTCACATATGTAATTAATATGCTCAGCTCTGTATTTGGTTTTTATTATTTACTTACAATTATTTTAGTACATAAATATAAATTATTTTAATTTTAATTTTAGGGTTTCTCAATCGTTGGAATCCGGAATAAGAAGTCGTCTGTTCCGGGAAGAGAACTATGAAAATGTGAATGTAAAAAAAAAATTTCATGCATTAAATTTAACAAACTTTTTAGGTGCTTTCTATCTTCTTGTGTCAGGATATTTGGTAGCAATTATCTTCTTTACTTTAGAAGTATTTATAGGCAAGAGGGCTAGAGCTGTACCTGTTCAAGATGACAACGATAAGTTATCAGTCTCTTGCATTCGTATACATAAATAGATAAGTATAATGTCACAGAAGGCCCACCAGTGGCCAAGCGGCCTTCGTTTCGTTGAACACTGGGAGTTCGGTCATGGGTTAGCACCTCGCCCGGACGGGCTGGCCACATGGAGTTTTCCGGGTTTTCTCCATGTCTATAACGCCTAAATAGGGGCCAGTTTAAAAAGACCTCCCGGAAGGCATTTCCCAAACCAAACAAACATAATCTCACATTATTGTATTCAGTAGACACACAAGTAATTTGAAAAATAAATTTTGTTTTTATTTTTCTCAACATGTCAATCAAATTTATATACAGTATAGCGTCGTTTATCCGAATCAATTGGGGACTGGGGTTGTTCGGTTAAATTATTTTTCGGATAACCGATTGTGTACGAAAAAATGTATTAACCAACCCATCCTGAAATTTTTTTTCGTTGCGTGTCGCTTTGCATTGAATTTTCGTCGATGTTAAGCCTAACGTAAACTTTTTAAAATAATAATCGTGGCTACTGTATCGTAAAAAATTATTTCTTTGTTTTGTACAAACAAAATAAATATATTGAAAATTATAAAAACAATAAAAAATTATACTTCAGAAGTTAATTTAGTATCAAAAACGTAAAATATTTTAGTAGACCAAGACATAGCCAAAGATTGCAGCGCCACAGCACTAGCGAAAATTTAAATTTTCCAACTGGAATTCTTTCGGATAACCGACGTTTCGGATAACCGACTTTCGGATTAACGACGCTCTAATGTAGTTCATTTTAACCGTTAAATAAATATATTAATCTAGAAAATGACAAAAGAAAATTTAATTCACTGAAATACTTTCTATGTGTAAATAGTATGAAATAGTTGTAAATAAGTATTAATATTTGTATTGAAAACACATTTTTGTATCGCAACTCTTGGACATCCATCCCTGTCATTATCTTCGAAGTGCAAAGTTGTATGGTATAATATCATATATAATCCGTGGTAAAATTAACATAGACGTTGCAAAAATTTGCTTGAAAATTTCTTATTTTTGCAACCACACTTTAGCAGTGCTTAGATGTTGTGTTTTCATACAGTGCTGAGACAGCTATTTCGAAATTTGGGATTTAGAACGTGTATGTGTTTTTTTTATCTCGATTTCTATCAAATCGTCTAGTGTTTTCAATGTACCCCGCAGATACGTAAATTAACAGTATCACGCTGTAATGAGAACTATAAGCTGGTATCGTGTCATGTTATCATTAGTGGCTTTAACTGACAATGTCACTGATTTGTTACACTCAACTCTGTGTTCCATGAGCAACATCTCTTGTTATTCCTTGTAAGTTCTGCTTAGTTCTATAACCTGGTATACGTGAAATTATCACGATACTCTTTTGAAATGTAACTAGAAATTACTATTTAATTACACTTTTATTTGTATTATAAAGAATATGCATCCACATTTATATGTTATCTGTAAATATTCTGAGATGGTTTGTATTAATGTTTTATTATAGAATAATGAACAGAAATTTCTATTTATTTAATAATATTATTTCTACAAAAATAAAATAAAATGTGGAAAGTTGGTGTGTTGTATTAGTTCCTGGTTTAAAAAAATCGAGTACACCATATTTGAAATTATTTTGTTCAGTGAACTTTCATCTTGTTTACATTTTTTTCACATTTTTAATGTGAAAAAACGTTTTAACATATTATTATACTTACTATCCTAGCTATTAATGTTATATTTATTGCAAATATTACTCTTGAAATTCTTCAATTATGTATGATTTACCTTATGAAAATAAATATTCTGTATAAGTAGTAGTGATTCGATATACTTTGGAGTATATTTAATTTTAACCATAAGATGTTTAATACAGTTTTTCGAATTTATTTTCTTCAAAATTACTTAATTTTTTCCTCTCGATCTTATATAATTTTTATATCATATCATCAAGAACAAAAAATCACAAGGTAGACAATTTGTTAAAAACAATTTGTTTGTATTCTACAAGAAAAATATATATATATTAGGATATATTTGAATAAAAGTTACAACTTCTAAAAAATTATTTCTTACGATTACATTTTATAAAATTTTTAGGCAGGGATATGTTTTATTGCAAGCACTGTGTATTAAGTAAGGTTTGGACTTTTTGCTTCTTGTAAAATATTAAATATCTATATTGGATTAAAATTATAATTTGCATTTTTTTTATTTAAATTTTTAGTTAAAATAGACAGAAGAATTTAAAAATTGATAACTGCCAATATACTGAAAATAATCTAAGTTAAATTTTTTGAATGTTTTGAAAATTAAATGCGAATTGTAACCTCAAAAATATGACAAAAATGTGTTCATAACGATATATTATATTTAATAAAATAAAAAAAAATGTATAACTGCATCTTTACCACATCATGATAAGGAAATTCAGCAATAGCGTTTTCTTTACTTGGGGTAGAAACTTTTAATATTGATAATTAGAGCATACTTTTACATGTTTTTTAAATGCAGTTTTTACAAAATTTTTCGTATTCCAGATTTATTGACATTAGTCAGTTAAAGTTTCTAATTAAGTATGCTTACTTTTGTCAGAGTTAATTCTAAGTCGAGTTTAGTTTTTTAATTAGAATATTCAAAATAAAAATATGTGGTACTTACGTTCACATGTTTTTCTTTAGTATAATTCTAGAAGAACAATGGCTGACTAAAACGTTGTTAAAATCCCGTATATATTTATACTAATATTATGGACGAATACAGAGTTAGAAATATACTGATTAGTAAAAGAAATCTAAAAAACATCTAAACCTGTCATTTGTAAGTACAAATTAATTAATATCTACAGGAAAAATGACAAACTACGTATCTCGTAGATATAAATATTGAATAAAAACTTTTATTTTATATAGTTTTAGTTTTTTTAAAAACTAGGAATAAATTTATTATTATTATACTCGATAATAAATCATGTGGAATATTAACATGCTCAGAGTTAACGGTGAATTATTATGTGCATCGTGAACATTATCAAGATATTTAAGATCTATTTCTAAAATATAACCAATATTATGTTTATCGGTATATTAGCAAAATTTCACGCAGTTATTTAATTAATCTTCGAATAATCATCTAAAATTATTTATCAGTAAACAAAAATTCACTACAATGCGTAAAGATTATTTGCATCTATGGAAAAAATATAATTATAAGGCTGATTTTTATCATATGTTTTCTAAAGTTATGGGTTATTTGCTTGTACAATTTTTTTTCTGTTAAACTTATTTTTTTTCTAATTTTATTTTTAATAAATATATACATCGTTATCGTTGAATTAATATCGTTAAACAATTCTAATTGAATTTTCGACATTTTTTAAATTCACAATTCCAGGTTAAATGGAAACCAATTACTGTATAAAAAATAATAATTTAAAATAAATTTTCTAAAATATTGTAATATATCAGACAATAATAACGTGTCTACGTATTGTAAAAACATTTTTTGATTGTAAACACGTCTCCTAAAATGTTTCAAACAAGAATATGAAATTAATTCTTTTTTCCTTTTAATAATTTTTTATTTTGTTATTACCAAAAAAATTGTTTAAAATTATAATTCACACTTTTTTAATTTGGATTAAGAAGACACAAAGAATTTAATAACGAAAATATTGAATAATAAAAAATTTTTTTTCAATTTTTTTTTTAAATTCACTAACACTTTTGTTTTCTCTTTTTCCTGTCATCTGCTCACTGATCAACTTCATATAAACAATTTAAATATTTTAACATGCCACAAACGAGACTTTAGTTTAACTCTAGAATATTTACAGGTATTTCAATTAACTAATCAAACATTTAATGTGTTATTCTGCTGAAGAATTGCTTTAATGTTTTTATTTATCTGATAGTAAATCTTGAATTCCATTAACATAGATAATTAGCATAGTATAGTTAATTGCATCTACCCGTTTGTTTTAGCAAAATAACATTACTATTACGTCATATTTAACCTAAGCAAAGTTTTGCGAACAACTTTGTTGAAACTCGGAATTTCTCAAGTCATTGCATCCTTTGACTTTAGTCTAATGATAGAGAATTTGAAACAATATCATGAGAAATGTGTGAAGAATAATATGGCCCATAAAAACAAGATAATAGAGATAGTTTGACAGATATCTGTTTATGATACAGTAGAGTCTCGAAAAACTCGGCACTCGATAACCCGGCAGTCCAGATAACTCGGCCACACTCTGGCAGGGCAAAAAAATTCTTAGTTAATTAATTTTCATTATAGACAGCTTTACGCCTCATAAAGTATTTTTCTGAGGTCTGTCTTATCAGGTAAATTACTATACACAGTGTATTCATTACTGTAATTTTCATTTTCATGTAGTAAAGGCTGTATGCCTTCATAAAGGACGTACTTTTCCTTTGTTTAAGGGTATTTGGGCAGTTTATTCTCTGTTGTATTCTCAAGTAAATAATACATACAAGTACAGTACAGTATTTTCTGAGAAACACTCATACTTATTTTTTTAATCCCATTCCCGATAACCCGGCATTTTCACAAACTCGGCCACCCTTCGGTCCACATTAGGCCGAGTTTTCGAGGT